TGTAATCCAAGCAGAGGCAGAGAGCAGCAGAGGAAAATGCACAACAGCAATTGCATTTCTTTTTATTGAAACATCATGAAAAAAGCCACAAGCACTGGAACAACATCCAGTAATGTAATGAAGAAAGAAACAATAGAATATGGGCCTGCAAGCATTCTTAGCAAATATGTTATGTTTTGGACAATAGAGAATTATTATCTATGTCAAGATATATTTCTAAAGCTAAAAAGAGAACTCTTTGTGAATCATGTGTGGATGATGTGGACTCACAAAGGAACCATCTGTGCTAAGTCAGGAAAAGTTTATAAAGAGCAAATGCCCCCAAACACAGGCACAAACAGAGCTTGTAGACCTCATCCAATTTCCGATAAAGCATTTGATTTTGCTATGGTATCTCCAAGGGGGTCCCTCCACCTCCCACACCAGGTACAGCAAAGCAAAGCACAAGAGCAGCTCCAAAAAGAAAATCTGTCAGCTACCACCATTCAGGCTGTGTGGCAGGGCTACACATACAAAGAGAAGTGGACGGAATGAACAAAGCTGCTGCCAGGATTCAGGCAGCACATCAAGGTCATAGGATGACTGGAATTGCCTTTTGGGTTTTACCATTGCTTTGGGGATAAAAATCCTGTGTTAAATTGGAAGGGGAAAGCAGGAAAGAGGACAATGGCACTCCCTCTTGTCATGGAGCACTGTGTGTGTTGGGATGAGGGCTCCCAATCACCAGGTGTTACCACTGGAAAGGAGAGGCTGAGAGGTTGATGTGGAGATAGACGTGAACCAGGTGCTTCTGTCATTCCCAGAGCAGTCGTCTCCAAAAGAGAGTTTTCTCCCACACCCTACAAAGTCTTGATCCTCGCTAATAGTTTGCTGCCGCACTGCCCGCACTAGCTGTGCTGCTGCGTTACCTGTGCTGCTGGGCTACAGGCGCTACCTGTTCTGCCGCGCTGCCCGCGCTGCCCGAGCTGCCCGCGTTCTGCCAGGGAGCGGTGCTGAGGCAGCGCGGCTCGGAGAGGAGGGAGGGGAAGGGCCGCGACAGGGGCTGGAACGGAAAAAGGGAAGGAGAAGGCGAAAGGATCTTCCCTCGGTGTGAGAGAGGGGAAAAAAAAACAGGAGGAGGAGGAAGAAAGTGCCGGCTGTGCTGTGGCACGGCGGGAGAAGTGGAGGACGGTGCGGTGCGGTGCGGTGTACCTCCCCGTGGGAAAAGGGCGAGCGGAGTAGGAGGAAGGGATGGAGAGAAAACAGCAGAGAGGGAGAAACGGAGTGGGGTTGTGCTTGGTGGGACCTGTAAGCAAGCCAAGAGGATTAACAGGAGGAAGGTGTCTGGAGGGGGACAGGGAGCTGGAGGAGAGGCTTCAGAGTGTGTGGGCAGGTAGATGGCTGGCTGCGAACTCTGTGTCCTCTGGCACGTGGAAGTGCCTGGTGTTGCAAAAGTTGCTGGCAAGCTAGCCTAAAAATATCCATTGCCTGGAGAAGATGCATGTTTTAGGCAGCTGCTGATGGGGAGAGGTGTCTGCTGATGGTAAGGACCAAGAGCAGAGAGCACTGGAGGGGAGGCGCCAGGGCTGAGATGAGGTGTCAGGAGTGCTACCCTTTCCCACCCTACTTTTGCACCAGAAACTGTCCCTTCCCACTTCCTGGTTAGTGTTCATCCACTGGATCCCTGTGTGGTGCGAGGTGGCACAAAGGCGACTCAGTCCTCCCTTAGGAGCTCTGAGGAGCATGGCTCCATCCCAATTACTGGCACCCCAGGCAGGCCTCCCTTGGCTCCTGGTATGCTAGTCCCAGGGAGTGAGGAGGCTGAGGTGGGCTGGGGAAGGAGAAGGCACATCCACCTGGAAGGAGCCTCTTGCCTCATATCTGCTGCAACCGCCTCAACTCTGTAGCCTCTCTTTTCTCCTCCCTACAGCTAACAACCCTGATGGTGCTGCAAACCCCTCTCTGGCTCTTGGGTCTCGAAATGGGGCTTCTCGGTTCTCGTTCGAAGCATCTCCAATCCACATCCTTCCCACCATCCTTCTCCCCTCGGTCCAGGTTCCCCACCTTCTGGTCGCCAGCCAGCACTGCCTCCTCTCACTGGGAAATGCTTTTTCCACACTCAGCTACGTGACGCTTATGGGCAAAATGGCTTGGCACTCTTCATCATAACTTCAGGTTTTCAGTTGTTCTTATTATTAACCATGTGGGCTCAAACTGATGGATTTGGACCTCCAGGTGAATTTATCTGGTTTTTTTTGTTTGTTTGTTTGTTTTTTGTTTTTTGTTTTTTTTTTCCCCCCAGGAGTTTGAGCTGCCCAGAAATCAAGGCCCAGTTTCAGCATTGCTTGTGCTCAGGCAGCTCTTGGCTCTTTGCAGACTGGAATTGCAGCCTCATGTCAGTTACAAATCCCATGAAACCAGTGGAAAAGTAAAGGCAGGTTCTCAATAGAGAAGATTCAAGTTTTACCCAGGAATTCATTTACTGTCTCAGAGTGGATGCTTCCCATGCTTCATGGCCCGGTTAGTAAAATGGAGTATTCATGTGTACCTCTTTTCCCAAAATGTTAGAGAGCATGGCTGAATAAAGACTTATAAACAGAAAGCATCATCAGCAAGCAAACAGAAATTATTTCTCCAGTACTCTCCTCTGGTTGCCAGATAACTCTGGAAGCTAAAGACCAGGCAAGCTAGGTCCTTACCTCTTGTCACAGTCTAGGCAGTGGGTGGAGGCAATGTTAAATCAAGCATACTTCATATTGCCTTTGAAGCAACTATCATGTAGTAGCAAAAAACCTATTCTTATGGCCAGCTAGTAGGTTATCTTCCTTACCTCAAGAAAGCAGGCTAAAGCCTTATGAAAACAAGTTTCTCTCCAGTCTGATACAGCATTGTCTAACAGAGCAGTGCCTGGATGGGATCTCAGGTAGTAATTATGACCAGAGGTGTCAATGGGCAAACCCTGGGGCTTGTACTCATGAAGCTATGTGTAGCAAAGATGACGGATGATGTGTGCTGAGCCCTGTACAGGACCAGAAACATGCTGAAAAGCACAGTGTAGTCTGGACAGAACATTTTTAAGGCACAGGTTTGTTGCAGAAAACTTTGCATCAGGCAGGATAATTGTGTTTAACCCATGCTCAACTTTATGGCAGGTTGTGGTGCTATCCGTCCACACCACTCCAGCCAAATATGCTGTACTCTGGATGCCAGCATAAAGAAAGGGTCCTTACTGTGCACCTTGACGAGTTGTGTGCTAATGCCTGCCCTGGATCCAATGGGTGAACTGAGCAATCTGGTAGTAACTGAGAGCTGATGATAAGAAGACACTTTATTCAAGACAGTCTTTTGATAGCACTGTTGTTTTTGAGTTGCTTTCAGCATCTGGGATGAGAAGAGGTGCAGAGGAAACCAGCTGTTCCTCCCGCCTTGCCAGGTGAACTCTGTCAGAGCCGAGGAGCTAAGGAGGCTCCTTGCAGATTTCCTGAATGTAGTACAGTAGTGGAAAAGGTAAAACAGTTGGGCTGCTGCTGGTGGCCTGCCCGAGAGCTATGCATGTGGCAGGCTGCAAGCCCACCGCAGCACGAATAAGGTGGTAGGACATTACAAGAAGGTTACTTGTAGCAGCAGTGTGACTGAACCACACTGAAATGACATCCTTTTCATTACAGGAAGCTGAATAATCTGATAAAGTTACAGCTGCCAGTTATCAGTCCTCTGTGAGGATATTAGATAAGGCAAATCTGAATCACACAGCTTATGACTGTACCAAAATCTGGGCCGCTGCAAGAAATGGGCCCAGCTGTTGCCGAAAAAACCAGACTTCCCATATAAAAGTCAGCAAGCAATTAAATTCCTCTAGGTTATGGATGTGTATCAGTGGATGAAGACAAACTCTGATGATACGCAGATAGCCAAGGTTGGGTTTTTTTGCAGCAAATACATGGGATTACTGTGCCAGCAGAGAGACAGAAATAATAGCCAGAAAGAATAAATCAAAGCAGGAAGAGTTTCAGGTCTGGGTGTAGACTAAAAGAATTTTGCACCACTTTTCCTTGAACTTGAAAAGTTCAGCAAAAAAGCTCCTCTTTGGAGAGAGCTGGCGAAGGGACTTTCATTTGGAAAGAAAACTCAGAAGATCTTGAGATCTCTTGGCAGAGGTGTGACAGGGGGACAGGAAAAGGGGAACTCGCATCCTTTTGAGATCAGCGATTTCTGTCGGCTTCTGAAAGGAGCCTTGCCCCAGGCATCGTTGGGATCGAGTGACACCTACAGAGGAACTGGTTAAATAATCAAAGCCCCATCACTCTCATTGCTAAGCACAAGGCCCTGGGGCAACACATTCTGTTGAGCTGTGCCAATAGAGAGACCCGTGCCAGCATTTCGGTGCTTCTGTCTGTGCAGTGATATTTTGTGTATAGGTGTTGAGATATAAATTTAGAAATCAGCCCTATTTCCCCACCTGTATCTTACTGTTTGTTTTTTTTTCTCCCAAAATCCATTTTATAACTGTAAAACAGCAAGTGGTGTATGGAAAATTAATAAGCTAAGTTAGGTCTGTAGAGAGGCTGTCTCTTATTAGACCAACTGATACAGCTGGAGCAGACAGTCTTTCAGGCACGTGATCGGTCTTTGGGTCTGATCTGCAGCCTGTTTTTTCCCCAGCTGTAACTGGCAGTATAATAAAAAACATTTCTCCTTCTTGAAAACCTTGCCTCACTTCTACTCCGAGATGGCAGGGGCTATAGCCACCCAAATACTGCCACAAAAAATCAGTCAGAGTTTAGGACCCAGAGCCCTGTTTTAGGCTTACAGCATGTGACAGCTGACTGAAAATCAATGAAGTGTGATTTACAGCGCGTCATAATGAGGATGAATAAGGCTTGAAAGGTGCTGTCTTGCTTTGCAGACTCAATTGTCCGCCTTGATTTTCAACTAGATTGTTTTAGTCCCCTACTAGGATGAGACTGATTTGCTTATGAAAACAAAAGATTAGATTTAAAGGAAAAGCCACAGTGGTGCCCATGCTTTGCCTCCTGCTCTTTGTGCTGTGTCTGAACTGCTTGGGTAAGTGCAATTTCTCCTTCTTCCAATTCGAGCTGCAGATGTTCAAGAATTTTTTTACTGGCTATTTAGCTGCTGCTTGCTGGGACAAGGTAGATGCTGGTTTCCCTTGGTCCTCTTCTTAACGCTGTTTGACTAGCAAAAGGGGGTTTTTTTCAGTTGCCTTTGTGTTGCAACCACAGCCAGTTCGGCAACAGGGTTTTAGTAACTGGGGTGGGGAGGTGGTTACTGGATGGAAGTTAACAAAAAAATCCAAAGCTCTACTCTCACTGCTGAAGAAAGTTATGGGAGAATCTCCATCACCAGGAGGAAAACTGGGTGAGATGATGAAAGATTAAGTATCCTGTTTGTATTTCTTGGGGTGTTGTGCACATTTATATAGCAGACTCCTTGCCTCAGCCCTCCTGCTCCTGTGCCTGTGGGGAACTGCTCCTGGCATGGAACGCAGAGTGAAATGCGAACCTTGGGGAGAGGGGAGATGGCAAACAGTGCTCAGTTACTTGTACATGTGTTAACCTGCCAGGGAGCTCCCAAACTTTTGTCTTCTCCGTGCATCGTATGGTAAACTCGGGGGAGCATCTGTCCTATGGCCACCCCTCGGTTTTTTCAAAGACAGTACTACTTTGTTCAGTGTTTTCTGTATAGCTTTATCTAACTTAATCATCAGACAGGGCTTGACCAAAAGAGCTGTTAGGCTTTTTTTCCCGCTTGGTTTGTCTTTCTTCTCATTAAAAATTTCTGCTTTTAAACTGTCCCCCTGCAAATACTGAGTCTGTTTTATGAGGGCACCAATCTTATTCCTTCTGGCTCTCTTCTCTGTGAGACTTCTGAGGTCTCTTTCACTCTTTTCCGTGGCTTGCCCAGCAGCTGAGAATCAGCTTTACCACCTCTCTGCTATTCCCTCCTGCAGCGTTAGGGCCCTTGGACTTCAGGTGAGGTATGGACTGTGAAATGACAGCATTTTCCAGTGAGGGAGTTCATACATAGCCACGGACACCATGCCGATGGGGTGCACAGTTGCCTATGTGTGTGCAGGGGGTTATATGCAAATAAACCCAGAGCAATCCAGCATAACCACAAAGTTAGTTTTGATCAGGTGTGTTTTGGGGTCGTGGATTTTTTCTATTCAATGGCTTTCCCATTACATTTCCCATGTTTAACAACCATGCACCTAAAAGGAAAGTGAAAGGGATGGGAGCCGGGGTCTCTGCAGAGACTCGTGTATGTCAGGGGACTGGGCCACTGAGGTTGTGGGTAGTGAGGGGAGAAAAATATGTTCTTTTCCTTTGATATTGTGGATGCAATGCCTCTGTGGCATGTTTGGGCAGGCAATCCAGTTTCCTAGGCCAGACCCCAGACTGTCTCCCATTTGCTACGGTGGAGCTCGGGTTAGCCCTGGAGCAAGAATAAACCCTGGAGCAAACAGAAGGGGCATTTGTGGTTTCCCAGTAGGTAACAGCAAACCTCAAAGGATTGTGACAAAGTGGCAAGACACAGGGTGGCCGCAGATGCTGCTACAAACTATATTGACAGCTGCATGAGCCCATCCCTTGTTGTGGTGTAGAGCAGGTGGAAGGGAGTGTGAAGGCTCCCTCTGATCAGCTGGCCTTCACCTCCCCAGGGTTTGGTAACCCCACCAATGCCTAACAACAGAGGACAAGACCGCCTGTGCTAGAACATCTGGCTGTGAAGTGGTTGTTAACCTATGAGTGGCAATCATTAGGCTTCACAGTTTACAGATTCTCAAAGAGGAATGTGCATTTGCTATGACTGGAAGTGGGGGATGACAGCGCTGCTTGGACCTGGTGCCATCCTGAGAGAATCCAGTCAGCATTAGGGAATGATTTTGTCCAATGGGAAGCTCTGGCATGGGAGCAGGTTGTTGCTTCAGGCCATCCTTCAGCTGTACCACTTCCTGCCAGGTGTCCCCCGCCCATGGCCTCACATAGACCCCACCAAGGGAAAGGAGGCTGCACAGCCTGTCTCACCCATGAAATGAGCAGCAGCTGCTGGCGAAAGAGGACAGGACAGGGACAGTGGTCTGTGGTCACTCCTTTTCCTCCATGCACATGGCAGAACATTACCCTCTGCCTCTGATTTTCTCTTTGGAGGGGCCGCTGGGCTTAGATGCCCTTTTCTCTCTCCCCAAGCAAGGCACAGGGACCCTGCTGGGGGCTGCCTTACCTCTGATATTTGCTGCACAGTGTGTGTGAGTCCCCCAGCTGTGCCCCCCTGCCAGGGCTCTCCCATCTCCCGGTCCTTGCACTGTCCCTCAGTTGCAGAACCCTTCTGCACCTAATGGCTGTCAATCTGGGGTGGGCGGTGGGGGGACACACACAAGGTCGGCCCCAGGCAGCACCCTCTGAGGTCCCCTTTGCTGGCACAGCAATATTGTCAGTGACCCCCACAGCACAGAGACGGTCAGCATGAGCTCCTTTTTCCTCCATGGTTCTGCTGAAGACAGGTGAAATCCTGCTCATCTTTGGGTGCTGTGTGTGTGCATAAGGGAAGAGGTGGCAGTCATGTCAGGACCTCTGTGTCATGGAAAGAAGGACTGCCATTTGGGAGAGGATGAAGGATCTGAACTGCCCTTCCCCTTTCACGGTAGCATGAGGAAGGAGGGACTAGGGGAGTCCCAAGTCTTGCAGGTACAGACCATGATGTCCCTGTGCTTGGTTGCAGGCAGCCCTGGTCCTGGCTGCATCATCCAGCTCTTCCTGCTGCCAGATGAGCTCCTTTGGCTGTCTGCTCTGCTGATACTGTTGCCCATGCAACCCACCCTCCCTGACAGAGAGAGTTTAGCTTTCTCAATAATTTGCTGCTCTCCCCTGGTTAACTCCAGAAGGAGGATTGATTTCCAAGTGCTACACAAGGCTCCCTCTGATCTGGCTTACAGGTCCTGCAGCTTCCAGCAAGGAAATCCCACCACCCCAATCCTTGTGCAGGGCAGCCTCCATCTCAGAGGTGCCAAAGAAACCAAGTGAGTGTAAGTGAAATCCCCGGGCCTTGACATGCCCATAGAGTATTGCTGCTCTTTCCAGCTGCAAGCCAGCCAGCAAGGGATTGCCCCACAGTGGCCGGATTCCCTCTGTGGCCCCAGCTGTCTGTGGTACACCACAGGTATCTGAAAAAACAGGACTCTCTCAGGGTGACATTAGTCAGGCTGGATATTTACTACTTAAGAGTGAAAGAGAGCACCTGATGCTCTGATCCTGCAGATCTTTTTAAGAACAATGAACAAGAAAGACTGGGCATGTATGCTGACTCAAGAAAAAAGGCCACAGGAAACAGAAACCTAGTACAAAATCCTTACTGCTCTGGTCTGATGATTTTTTTTGAGCTGGGCTTGGGCTGTCTTGCCTTCCCCTCCCCTTGCTCTGGATCTGCTGAGAGTCTGTGTATCTGAATTTCTGCAGATTTTAGCAGCCTAGAGGCAAGTTTGTCTCACATCATTGCTCTCCTCAGTTCCTCAGCTCGTGCTGTTCCCCATGTCTGCTTTCTGACGTGCCCCCACTCTCTGTTTCTCTCTTCCAGATGTGGCTGCCTTCAGTTCAATCGCTGAAAACGAGGATGCGCTCCTCAAGCACTTATTTCAAGGCTATCAGAAATGGGTCCGCCCTGTGGAAAACTCCAACGACACTATCAAAGTCCTTTTTGGATTAAAGATATCACAGCTTGTGGATGTAGTAAGTGTTCTGCTGGACCTGGTAAAACACCCCTTCTTTTATAGACAGTCATGTCTATAAAATATAGACAGTTGTGTCCCCCCTGGGAGGGTTGGTGATGCCATTGGCTTTTGCCTCTTGACACATGAAGCGTGAAGTGATGGCCAGAAACACTGAGTGTGATGTACTGGTGGTGGTGTAACCTCCTGCCCCACACGCAGCATAGGCCATAAGACTAATTTGTCTTGTGGCAAACCTGAAGGTCCTTTTTTCCCCACTGTTCTCAGTGAATAAGGCCTCATTGCATCAGATATTCACCAAACAGTCCGTGGCACCTACATTTGCAATTTAATGACAAGGCAACTACAGGTCCATTTTCCAACCTCAGGAGCTCCCAGTAAGAGGAGGGACAGCACCTAGAAAGTCAGTTTACTTCCCTCAACAGTGACTGACGAGCCCAAGCCTGTGGGGTGACAGGACCATAGGGGTCTTCTCTGCTAAGCACAGGGTTGGACTCAGCAGGCATAGGGTCTGTTTCTGTTTGGTATTGCAATCCTCTCTACCTTGTGTCACCCTAGGATGAGAAGAATCAGCTGATGACAACCAACGTGTGGCTGAAGCAGGTAACAGACCAAATCAGACCTCCTCTTTCAGTGTGGGGCTGCTGAGCTGAGTGGTCATCCCAGCCTGCTGCCCACTGTGCCCTCCATCCCCTTTCCTGATGCCGAGTGGCCAGACAAAAGCAGCACCTTGTTACCCTGGCTGATGTTTTCACTTTAACTCCTCTCACTTCAGCAAATGCAGAAAGGGGCAGAAAGGCAAGCAAGTGGGCCTTCTTGAAATAGGGTACCCTCTTCTCCTGACCTGCACTCAAGCCAGTTGTATTTCAGGGAAGCAACATCTCCTGATACTGCTGTGGCTGTCCCTGGGATGCTGTGTGTGCCCTGAGGGACTATCCTGTCTCAGACTTAGAGGTCACACAAGTACTGTTTCTCTTGCCCGAGCAAACAGTGGTACCTTGGATAGGTTTCTTCTTTAGCGTAAGTAAAGACAAAGAAAAGACCAGCATGTTACCCCCCAAAAATAAAATCTGTGGCAAATTAATCACATTTCTCCAACATACTTGCTTCTGGAAGTGATAATTTATATAAGTGGGGAAAAGGTGCAAGTTGAACTGTTAGGTCTCCTTTCTTCTTCACTTCTGAAGAACACTGCATTTGGGTTAGATTACATTCCACCAGTTTATTGACCTTGTGACAATTATTTTAAGTCTCTCAACCATATGAGTATCTATAAACATGTCAGCTGATCCTAGGCAGAGGACATAAAACCCAAACCATACTTGAAATGATGCCATGGAAAGTGGTTCCCAGGGGTGGTGGAGAAGAAAGGGGGCTCAGTTTCTGTTCTCAGTCTGGTACCTGTAGTGCTGCAGTGAGCCTGAGCTTCTGGGTGGAGCAGGACCCCTAAAGGCCACACTGATGTTATATGCAAAGGTGGTCTCTCCCTTGAAGAGGCAGAAGCTCAGAATTCCCCTTTTGCTGCTGATCTAAATACGACTGCTGAGACCCTGCTCTGAGAGAGCTGTGGTGTTACATTTTCCCCCCTTCAGCTGCAATTGCAGAGACTTCATGTGCACAGGGCCAGGTCTCTGCTTCCTCACTTTGTTTGAGTAGTCTTGGGTAGACAGCGGGTCCCTCCTACAAAGGTAACCCCTGGCTGCTGGTCTGCCCTCTCCCCATTCCCACCCTCTCTCCTTGCAGGCTGCAGCACCCACTTCCCCCTGCGGGTCCAAGCACTGCAGTCTGCAGGCCTGAAATCAACCTACTTCACCTTCCTCATTCTCTCTGGTCCTGCAAGTGTTCTCAGAAAGATTTTGCAGCCATTGACAGAATATTCATGTGTCTGACCGTCTCCTTCTTCTGGAAGACTTGGCTGCTTGCTCCATCCAGGACAGCAAAGTCTCCTGTGTCTTGGGGCCGCTTTCATCCCTCTGGCTGGGTAATATCCTCACCCAGGTTGCAGGGACTGGAGAAGAGAGGGACTTGAAGTACTGACTCACATTAGCAGGCAAAACCCAAGTCCAGGCCGCCCAAGGGCATTAGGCCTGAGATGCTAATGCAGACAGACACCTACTGACCCTCTTTCCATTGCGGCAGGAACCAGTGTGGGGCCGTTTCGGGTTAGCCCGCCCACGCTGAGCTCCTTGTTTGCATTGCAGCATTGACCTCCCAGAGTCATAGCCCAGGTCCTGTATCACAACTCTTGCTGCAGGAAATCAGGTTCTGCTGCAGGTTACTCCAAACACACTGCAGGAGGCAGGGACATGCAGCCGCCTGCTCATTGCCTCTTGTGTGTGGGGGACGATGAGGGGGAAGCCATTTTATCTGATCCTTCTGCTGCATGCTGTGGCTAAAAGAAGGACCTACCCAGGAGGCTACACTGTAAGCATGCTGATTTCTCTGGAGGCCCCTTTGGAGACTGTGCTCAGATTTTAGCTGCTTCCTAGGGTAACTCAGGACTGTGATTTTCAGAATTACTGAGCTGGCCTCTCACTAGTTTTTACCATTTCTAATACCCCTTCTTCATCTGAAGGGCTGAGAACATCAAGGCCCAAATGAAATGCAAAGGGAGCAGAAAATAAGTGAGATATAGGCTCTCATTTTCACACATGCTGATGCCCCCAGGAGCTCAGGCTGAGCAATAAATACCTGTGGCCTGACCCAGGTGTCCTGCTTCGGAAGTCAAGCATTCCTGTAGTATTAGTGTGAGCTGGTCCCACATGCAATCCGGTGTTTGGGCGATTATCAGAGTGTGTAAGCACAGCAGCTGGGAAAAGTTCCATAAAACTAAGCAGAATTAAAATATTCGTTTCTTTTGGGTAGGGAAAAGTCAAAAACAGTAAAACAAACCGGAGTTCTCTAATGACACAGAGCCTGTTCTTCTGCAGGAGCTGTGGAGGTCAGGGAAGTCTGGTCCTCACCCTGGGTGTGTGAGGTTGAGGGGGAATCATAGTCATCAATTCTCTACAAGAGTCTGGCTTTTCTTATATGAGCAAAGCTTACATACAAGGGTTTTCTTTTTTCTTTTTAACTTGAAAAATCCAGGTGCTCAAGATGATGTACATGCAGGTGGGTACACAAGGTGCAAAGGAGCTTTTAGTGGTTGCTGAGATAGTACCTGGGTTAGGGCAAATTATAGAGTCTACTAACAAGGGTCAAGAATCTGGGTCCAATGTGTCTTGGTCTGCTTGCCATGGTTCAAGCACCTGAGTGACAGCCCAGAGATGGGAATTTGGCAGAACTGGAGGAAGGGGAGAACAAAGAGAGGGTCTAGAGCAGCTTGGAAGAAAGGGAGAA